ACAGCAAATGTGTATTGGTCTATGTACCGTGAGCTTCATAGCTAAGTGCCAGGAGTTACAAATAGCAATCACATTTAAACAATTAAACCAAATTTTACATATGCGAGTGACTTCCTATTTGGAGAATCCATGGAGAGGGAGAGCTCTGACTTTGGCAGTCAGTGTGGCTGGGCTCTGGTCCAGGCTGGGCACAGAGCAGCTTGTGCGTCACTTCCCCTGGGTGAACCTCCCTGACTGCCTTTTGTAAAGTGCACTGAGATCTTGTGGCAGCAGTCACAGCTTTAACTATGGTGGACATAAATAACAAAAACATTCACTGTTTATTTATTTATTGGAAAGTCAGATTTACAGAGAGAAGGAGAGACAGGGAAAAAAATCTTTCATCCACTAGTTCACTCCCCAAGTGGACACACTGACCAAAGCTGCGCCAATCCAAAGCCAGGAACCAGGAGCTTCTTCTGGGTCTCCCATTCAGGTCCAGGATCTCAAGGCTTTGGGCCATCATTGATCGCTTTCCAAGGCCACAAGCAAAGAGTTGGAAGGGAAATGGAGCAGCCGGAATATGAACAATTGCCTATATGGGATCCTGACACATGCATGACAAGAACTTTAGCCTCTAGACTACTATGCTGAGCCTGAATTAAATATTTCTATTGAGTATCTTATTTCTATTACTTGGAAGCTAAGAAAACATAAGTTTTAGCACCTATTACTTGTGGGGCCAACACTGTAGCATAGTAAGTAAGACCACTGCCAGCAATACCAACATCCTGTATGGGCACCGATTTGGGTCACTGCTGATCCGACTTCTGATCCAGCTCCCTGCTAATGCACCTGGGAAAAACAGCAAATGTGGTTTGAGTGTTTGGGACCCTTCCAACCCTCATGGGAGGTCTGGATGAAGCCCTTGGATCTTGGATTGAGTAGCTCAGCACTAGCTATGGAAGCATCTTGAGAGTGAAACAGCCAGTGGAAGATCTCCCCCACTCTCTGTCTCTCTATCTCTGTAACTCCTGACTTCAAAGTGAATAAATAAATTTTAAATTTAAAAAAAAAGAAAATCTATGATTTGCAACAAGACCCTAAAAAGGGATCATTGGTGTTTGTCAAATTGCTAAAATGTGCGATTTGTTGTTCATTGCTTCTCATTCTAAATAAACTTTCATCCAAGCACTTAACTTTATGCCACAACTTTACATTCTTCAATAGAGCCCTGCACAGTGTAGAAACTTTACTTCCTTCCTAAATCCAAATCCACCCCTACCGGCGAGATAGAATTTATGAACAACTCGATCATAGAGATGTTGAAGCTGAGACTCAGTGATTTATGTGCATACACACAAGTGGTTAGAGCCAGTAACTGCCGGAGCCTGCATTTGAACCCAAGCAGTCTGGCTCCACTTAAGTCCTTTGAAAAAGTTCTGTGAAACTTTAGGGGTATTCAACAACTAATAGCGATTACTATTTAGTAAGCTTCATGAATACATGAAAACAGCTCTAACCCTATTTAAAGATACCATATAAATGTGATATTCACAAGCAGATAAATCAGCAGACTGACTTTATCCAAGGAGAATTCCTCTCTAATCTCCTGAAAAATTATTTTAAAGTGTAATTGGTACATCACCTGCATCAGAGCTATCCGAATCCCACCCCACAGTCAGTGGATCCATGTGGATGGACATGAGACCTGGGAATCTGAATGTTCTATATGAACTTCCCAAGTGACTATTTACATACTTAAAATTGAAAACCACTGTTGCTCATAGTCACTCTACTATGAATAACGATGTTTACTGGAAGGGAGAGAGTAAGGAATGAAGGAACGAACTGAATCTAAGATGTGGTTGGTATATTATATTTAAAAGCAAATGGCAGTGGCCAACATGGTGCTGATACAGGCTTGTCCTCCACCTGCAAGTGCCAGCATCCTATATGGATGCTGGTTCGCATCCCAGATGCTTCACTTTCCATCCAGATCCCTGCTTGTGACCTGGAAAAGCAATAGAGGATAGCCCAAGTCGTTGGGCTCCTTTACCCATGTGGTAAAACCAAAAGAAGCTCCTGGCTCCTGACTTTAAATCATCTCAGCTCTAGTAGTTGTGGTCATCTGGGGAGTGAACCAGTGGATGGAAGATCTTTCCTGTGTCTCTCCTTCTCTATGTAAAACCTGCCTTTCAAATAAAAAAATAAAAATCTTTTTAAAAAAGAAGATGGCAGTGAACAACAGCACATTAGCATAGCAGGTTAGTCCTCAGGCATACTGCATGGACACCAGTTAAAACCCCAGCTGCTCCACTTTTGATCTGGTTCCCTGCTTGTGGACTGGGAAAGCATTAGAGGATGGCCCAAGGCCTTGGCCCCTGAACTCACATGGGAAACCTAGAAGAAGCTCCTAGCTTCCAGCTTCGGATTGGCTCAGCTCTGGCCACTGTGACCTTTTGAAGAGTGAACCGAAAGTTGGAAAATACCTCTGTCACTCCCTCTGTTAACTCTTTCAAATATAATAAATAATGTTTTCAAATAAATCACAAATTAAAATTATGACACAAGTTAATAGAAATATTCAACTACATTAACATTTGTGAAAACATATCATGTCGCATTTAAATGTATTTATTTATGTTTATATATTTGAAAGGCAAGCAAAGAGAGGCAGAGACTGAGCTTCCATCTACTAGCTCACTTCCCAAATACCTGGCACAGCCAGGGCTGGGCCACACTGAAGCCAGGAGCCAGGAACTCAATCCAGGTCTCCCACATGAGAGGAAGGACCCCAGGCACCTGGTGCAGTCACCCACTGCCACTCTAGAGTGCACACCAACAGGAAGCTACAGCCTGAAGCAGCCTCCCTCCCAGCCATCTAACAGAGGATGCAGGCAACCCGAGGGGTGTACTCACAGCTATGCCAAACGCCTCCTCATCCTTCCTTACTTAATTACTCAAGGAACTTGTTTATTTTCAAAAATGAAGCTTACATTTAATTTTGAAGGCCATTATCATGGAGACTAACTACATTCCCAGGTTCTATTCTAAGATTTAAGTATGTTAGCTCTTTCACCTGCCAAACTTATTCTAATTACAGGGTTTGAAGGAAACCCTTAATCTCATCACTCTTGCTAATTCCCCAGTATTAACAAGAATTAACATTAAGTTAATACTCCAGTAAGTCAGAGCCAGGATTTGAACCCACAAAGTCTGAGTGCTGAGGCCTGTTGCTCGTAAGCCCTTTCACAAAGAAAACTAAGTTAAACAAACAATCAAACAAATACACGAGGGGAAAAATATGATTGTAGATTCTCATGGAGCCTTGCACTCTGGAGAGTCCTCCTGCGCACCCTTCCTCCCAATACATAAATACTGCTATGGATTGAAGACAGCATGAAATGGGTTAAGTTCCTGTTTGGGCTTTCTTTTTTTTTTTTTTTTTTTCCTATGGGAAGGAAGTTGAAAATGTCCAACCTACTCAGACACGGAGAGGTTAGAGCTTGACTCTGTCCTCCCAGTTCATCAACAGAATCTTTGTTTCCAGATCTTCCCACACCCTCCACCCCTTCAAAAAGTCTGCAGATCTTTCCCTGACATTCCTTCCCTCGGTGTTCTTGCTGTGCAAGCCTACAGAAAAAGCAAAGCCCTGGGCTGAGCCCACAGCAGGCACCTTAGGTGTATTAACTCTTCAATACCCACAGCCCCGCGGCTTTTCCACAGCCCACAGAAGACAATGTGGGGGTTCCAAGCAACCCGCCCAAGTCCTAGAACTTGGGGAGTGGCTGAAGCAGGAATCTTCTCCAGGCAGCCTGGCCAAAAAGACAATGCCAGTGCCCTTCCCCACTTACTCAAACCTCTACCAAGCATTGAGTGCCCTCTGTATGCCAGGTCCTTTGTACAAACTCACTGAATCCTTACATCGTACAAGTGCAGTCAACGGGAGCTGTCCTCCTTGGTGTGACAGAGCAGCGTGTCCAGCCTGCTGCCCTGCATCCAAAGCCTGCACTTTATCCACACTGCCATGAAGCCTCCTGGAATTTTCAGCAGGTTTTCCTCCTGATAACCCCGAGGGAGAATTGCCCCCACTTCTTTTTGAAAGACGAGCACTTTCGTAACACAGGGGCAGCATGAAAATAACCATTCCACGTTTAGGCGAATTCCATCTTCCAGATCTGCCTTTCCCAACAAGGAACTGGAAAGCAGAGTCAGGGTATCTCTGCTGCGCTCCCCCTCCCATCGGGCGGAAATGTGCTCCAGGCTACATAACATAAATCCCATTGAAATGACCTGTGTGCAGACAGTGCTAAGGGTGACAGCCAAGAGCTTTACAGTCATGGTGGTGGGATCCTGGCTTGTCCTTTTCAAAGGGCTCTGCTAGATTTCACATTGTACTGAGCTTTCGTAGGTGCAGTCCATGGGAAAAAACGCAAACCCTGACAGATGCCCCCAATTCCTACCAGCAGAACCACAACCCTTTCGTTCCAGGTGCCAGCTAACTGATGAATCGGTGATAAGAAGCGACTGAAAAATTCTTATGCCCCTAGTTTTCAGATAGAAAAAGCTAAGGCTTCCAGGAGCTTGGAACTTATCCCAGCCTGGCCCTTTTCCCGCATCAATTCAGAGCAACAGTCAACAACAAACTACCCCCACACACGATGAAGAAAACTTGTGAGGAACTTGAGGGGGAGGAAGGGGTTAACAAGACGACTGGTTAAAAAACGTGCACAGATAACAAGAACCACGTCTACAGAACTTGAAGTCCTGGCATAATTCTGCTTAAAAGGCGCAGGGCAGGTACCCCGAGGGATACAGAAGTGACCCGCAAGGGACCCCACCGTTGGAGAACCGACTGCACAGAAACAAGGGACAGGTACACTGGGGACAGGGAGGGAAGGTGTTGCCTCCCTTCCTTCGCTTCCCAGGACCCGTCAAGGGGACGCTGTCCACAAGCCACGCGGCGCAGGGAAGGGGGCGGGAAGGGATAATAGCTACGCCCGGGCTTTCCCACTTACTTGTTCCGAAGTGTCACCCCAGCTCCGTGCATCCTCCTGCGACCCCGCGCAGAGGCGCAGCCCCAAGCACAGCCCCAGCAGCAGGAGCATGGCTGGGCGAGAGAGGCGATCCCTTTGGGAACCCGGCGGGACGCGTAAGGCACAGCGCTCAGCACTCCGGCACTTTGCAAGAGTCCCGCCTCCCCAGTCTCCCTCACCCGCCTTCACCTCCCAGGACCCGCCCCGGACCCCGCCTCCCTGGGTACCACCCACTCACCCTGGACCCGGCCTCCCTTCGCTCCCTTCTGGAGAAGCCACCTCCCGGAGAGGGAATCCGAGCCTGGTCCCCTCAGCTGGGAGAAGCAAGTGCCAGCGCTTCAGGAGGGCATGGAGACACCTGCGCACACAGCCTTTCCCTGCCCTCCCATCCTGTTTTAAGGACCAGACTTTTCCTCTATTTCAAGCTTTCTAGTCAGTTTCCACCTGCCATCCCCCACAATTCTTTCTACCTCTCCAGCAAGATGCTACCCTGTGCACTTGCTTGATGCCTGTCCTCCGGAGGCTGTGGGAAGACCACGCTGGCCTTCAATGTACAGCCCACTCCCTTCATCTGCTAGGCTGAAGCCAACAGGAGACCCTGTTCCCGCAGGCCAGAGAACAACACACTTGGGCATCCACCATGGATACTTAAAAATCAGGACTGAGGGATCCCAACTCAGGTGCAGAAGTATCAGCAATGCAGTGCCAGTACAAGGGGACACAAAAGAAGCTGTGTAGTACCACTAACCTATCTGTATGGTGTTGATCATGACAGTGAATGTTACCGTGATCCTGGTTACAAACACGGATAGTTTCACCCTGCCTCAGGTGAAATATTTACCAAGTCTTTGCAGTCCCAGTGGCGTTTTTTGTTTGTTTTGTTTTGTTTTGTCCAATCACTGCATAATGTAGCTTGCTTGTTTACTTCATCTTCCAAAAGGCAATTGCCACAGGGACTTTTTTACATCTCTGTGACAATTAGATTAAATAGGAGTGAATAACAGATCTCAGAGGCCAAGAGCAAGGAAATGACAAATGCAGATAATGGTGAGCTACCCCAAGAGAGATGTGCATCTATTAAAAAATAATAACCAACAAGGTTTACAGCAATGATGTTAATAGTGTACTGCAAAGGAGAAGAGCAGAGGACGATGTAATCAGACCAAGATACATATGCCGGAGCACTGGGGAAAGCCACGACATTGAAAACAGTGGTTGTGGGCCCGGCGCGGTGGCGCAGTGGTTAAGGCCCTCGCCTTGCACGCCCGGGATCCCATATGGGCGCCGGTTCTAATCCCGGCAGCCCCGCCACCGGGCCTGTGGTCCGGGAAAGCAGCAGAGGACGGCCCAAAGCTTTGGGACCCTGCACCCATGTGGGAGACCCGGAAGAGCTCCAGGCTTCCGAACGGCATAGCATCAGCCGTTGCGCTCACTTGGGGAGTGAATCATCGGACAGAAGATCTTCCTCTCTGTCTCTCCTCTCTGTATATGCGCCTTTCCAATAAAAATAATAAAAATAAATCTTTTTTTAAAAAAAAGAAAGAAAACAGTGGTTGTGCTCATTGATGGACAATTTGATATTTTATTAAAATCTTCATTTACTTTTGTTAAAGATTATTCTATATGGGCGCCGATTCTAATCCCAGCAGCTCCACTTCCCATCCAGCTCCCTGCTTGTGTTCTGGGGAAGCAGTGGAGGACTGCCCAAAGCTTGGGGACCCTGCACCCATGTGGGAGACCCAGAGGAGGTTCCTGGATCCTGGCTTCGGATCGGCGCAGTACCGGCTGTTGCGCTCACTTGGGGAGTGAATCATTGGACGGAAGATCTTTCTCTCTGTCTCTCCTCTCTGTATATCTGACTTTCCAATGAATAAATAAATCTTTAAAAAAGAAAAGAAAAGAAAAGAAATTAGGACAGATTTAAGAAGCATGTTGCTACTGTGAAATGAAAGAAGAATCTTTGTCATTAGCATATGAACATTAACTAACCTACCCTAAAAATCATACAAGCATATGACTGGAGCCAGCGTTGTGGTGTGGCAGGTTAAACCTGCCTATGGCACTGGCATCTGTTATGAGCACCTGTTCATGTCTCAACTTCTCTACTTGATTGGAAATCAAATTCTCTGCTCATGGCCTGGGATGGCAGCAGATGACCCAGGTGCTTGGACCCATGCACCCACATGGGAGACCCTGAAGAACCTCCTGGCTCCTGCCTCCTGCCTCCTGGCTCCTGGCTCCTGGCTCCTGGCTCCTGGCTTTTGGTTCAGCTCCAGTGCTTGCAACCATTTGGGGAGTGAACCAGCTGATGAAAGACTTCTCTGTCACGGCCTCTTCTTCTCTCACTATAATTCTGTCTTTCAAAATAAAAGTCTAAAAAAATGTAAATGTTAAAAAAAAAAAATTTAAGTACTTACAGAAGACCCATGACAGCATAGGTCATGATTTAGGTTGGCCTTATCAATAATAATTTAAAAGTTAATTGACCCTGAAAAAAGTGACACATTTAATTCAGGACTAAGATGTCCCTATATCATTTGCCCTTTCTCTGACACCTCCAGGAGGAGCTCATTTTCCAATGAACTCACAGAGAATCTTCAAGCCAAAGAAGGATGCCCAATCCAATTCTGATTCCTCTAAGGAGGCACCTACCTCAAGGATGCCTACTTGCCAAGGATGGCATGCCCATGTGGGATAAATAACCAATGTTCCTTGGCAGATTCCAAAGGCAGAACGCTGTGAATGGGGGTTCAGTCTAAGAATGAGTAGGAGCTATGCCACCCGGACCAGCCATGCAGCTCAGACACCCCTTACCTCCCTGTTTCTAGGACGTGCCTTCCCAGAGCAACTGAATGACTGACTACAGGATTCTAGGCCTGATCTTGGCCTCAGAATTGAGACTGCCAATTGATGGGCTCCAAGCCATACCTAAGCAAGCCAGGACTGATATGAAAGCAGAAAGCAGGTTGTGTGTTTGTTTTCTTTTCCTTCTCCTCAGATTTACACCTAACATTCCCCCAGCTCCTGTATCTAGCTGCTGTGAAACTCCAATCACAGTAAGGGAGCTTGGGGCTCAGCTGCTGTTAAGTCCCATCCCACGTCTGTAAGGTCATTGTTCTGTCCTGAGCCAGCCCTTCCCCTGCCCCCTCCTTGGTCTGCACCTTCTTATCTACTTATATGGCTTCGTCTTTGCTTCTCTTGGACTCCTGTCAACTTTGCAGAATCGCTACAGTTTCTTACAACCTTGGCTTTATTTTTTCCTTCATCAAAGGGACTGGGAAGGGAATGGACTCTTTTGGTCCTGTCTGTGATTTCTCAGGATCCCTGGTACCTTGAGAGCCTTGTACCTGCTTTCTGTCTGCTTATTCAGCTACTGCATTTTTCCAAAGAGAAACTATCTGAAAGAGGAAATAGAGAATACAACTTTCCAGGCTATGATTGATGGTTGGCTACATTAATCAACTGTTAGCCAAATGTAACTCATATTTTCATGATATACTTATCGATTTGAGGTCAACACTTTCTATGGAAAGTGTTGTGTCATACTAACTTTTTATATTTTCAGTATCTGTGCTTGACTTGGAGTACCTGGACAGAGGCATAGCACATGTTTGACGAATGAAACAATGTCTAGCTGCCACTTTGCTATCCTACGGTTGAAAATCATTTTAGATATGAGCCATAGCCTGGAAGAATTTAGCATTTAAGTGGGAGGTACTATCAACAAAATGGACCTAATTTGATCTCAATCATGATACGTTAAGAGGAGAGAGGGACCAGCACAGTGGTATATCAGGTTAATTCTCTGCCTGTGGTGCCAGCATCTTATAAGGGCACAAGTTCAAGTCTTGGCAGCCCCACTTCTGATCCAGCTCCCTGCTGACAGTCTGGGAAAGCAGTGAAGGATGGCTCAAGTTCTTGGGCCCCTATGCCCATGTAGGAGACTCTGAGGAAGCTCCTGGCTCTGATCTTCAGACTGGCCAAGCTCTGGCCATGTGGCCATTTGGGAAGTGGATCACTGGAAAAGTGATCTCTCTCTCTCTCTCTCTCTCTCTCTCTCTCTCTCTCTCTCTCTCCCTGTAACAGTTAAGAAACCATTAAGGTACCCAGCACGGTAGCCTAGTGGCTCAAAGTCTTGCTTTGAATGTGCTGGGATCCCATATTGGCTCCAGTTCGTGTCCCGACTGCTCCACTTCCCTTCCAGCTCTATACTGTGGCCTGGGAAAGCAGTGAAGGATGGCCCAAAGCCTTAGTACCCTGCACCTGCATGGGACACCTGAAAGAAGCTCCTGACTCCTAGCTTCAGATCAGCACTTTTGGATCCTGGCTCTAGCAGTTGTGGCCATTTGGGGAGTGAGCCAGCAGATGGAAGATCTTTCTCTCTGTTTCCTTCTCTATGTAAATTTGCCTTTCCAAGAAAGATAAATAAATTTTAAAAAAAAATTCCACACCCATGCTAAGGAATACTGCAGTCATGTCCAGCCCAGATCATTGCCCCCGTTCCAGCTTACACACTCACCAGTAAGAACCACAACCCAGCCAGGTTGTCCCCTTTGCTCCCCAACCAGGCCTGCCACAGATATTGCGTGTGCCAGTAGTTTCTCTGAGTCAGCTTAAAATAACCCTTCCCCTCTCTTGGCCTTTACGATCAGATGCTCTAGGCTGGGCCTGACCTGACCCATGCCCACTCCTAACTCTCGTTGGTGGTTGCTGCAGCCTAGCCCTGCCTAATCTGCTCCCTTCCCTGGCTAATGCAAACTGATAGGTGTGGTAGCCTAGCCTGGCCTGACCTGCACTCCAGCCTGGCTCCTGTACATGCCAGTAGGTTACGGTTGGCCCAGGTCTGCCCAGTCTGACCCCTCTCCAGAACCAACTCACACACTTGCCAACAGATAGAGCTATCTTTCCCAGCCTGACCAACATCCAGGCCTGAACCACATCCTCACCAGCAAGAATTCCACCACCAGACCCACTCCCAGACCCAATGGGTGCTAGGTCCTTACCCAGCATAGTCTGCCCTCTCTGTCCCGGCCTTTGTATGAGCTGGTGGCTGTTGCAGCCCAACCTACCCA